CGTAAACTTCTAATTTTTTATTTTACTTTTTTAAAAAATGAATTGTTTGCTACGACTTAGGGCCTAGGGCCCAAATTTCGAAGTTCGCCTCAGGCCCCACGAAGTACAGATACGGCCCTGACAAAATCACATGCAACACACATGTAGCATATTAGTATTTAAAACCCACAGGTTTGACTCTATAAACGTGACGAGTAGAAATTATTATTTATTTTCATTTTAGATTATACGGTAATTAGCACAAAACGTTTCCATTGTTTGCATTCATTGTACAAATCGTTCCTATCATTTCAAATTTGGCATTTGCACCACCATTTTAATATTTTTCTTTTTTTGGGGAATTTGTAATTTTTGTCTCATTCCATCAATTCGTTCCGTTAAATATTTGGATAATTGGTACAAAATGTTTGTATCATTTGTGTTAGGTCTAGAGTCTTGTCAAAGTTCATGTCCAAATATTATTTGATCAAGTTGTAATTGGGTTTGATTTATCGGATGTTGATAATTGCTTGAGAAGTGCTCGATGTGCGCTTAAGAAGACGCCAGAGCATAAAAACAAAGGGCACTCAATGTACGTCAAGTGAAGGTTCGAGCTGTTTTTTCTAGTGACAGATCGCTCAATGTTTGCCCACAGGGCACTCGAGTGCCTGTATTTACGGGATGACCCTAGTTCGCTTTTTTCAGCCTCTAAACACTCACAAACCACCTTGAACTGTCAAATAGATTATATAAACAATGAAAATTCGAGTCTTATTTGCAGTGAGAAAATCTATATTGAAGACAAGATCTTATTGAAGAAGAAACAATTCCTTGCCAAAATTCTTTTATCTCAATCATAAGATCAAAACACCACAAAATCCTAAACCTAATATTCTTCAGATTTCTGATGATTATGAGAGGCGATCGGAGTTTCGATTAAGAAAGAATGAGTTCGTTATTGTGATCCACAAAGGGAAAAAAGGCCAGAGGTTTTGGAGTTGGTGCTGAGTGCACAATCGAGGAGTTTTTTTGGTTGATTATAGGTTGGGAGTTAGCGTCTATTAAAGTTTAGTTGTATCTGGACCATGTTTGTAAGTTCAATCTTTTCTAGGGGATTATTTACTGGTCCGAAGTGCTCGGACGATTTTTATTTACTTTCGTGCTTCTATGATCGTCATGCTATAAATTGATTTTAGTACATCTAAATTTAATAAGTTGTGATGTGTTGCAAGTTGTTAGTAGTAAAATTTAAATTTCGCATATTACACATATTCTCCACATCTAGATGTTTATTGGGTCGAACTGTGTTTATTACATTTGTCTTCATTACGAAAATCTTCCCTATCGTTTCAAATTTATTGACCTCTCTATTTGTAAAATGTCTTTACCGTTTTATTTTCTCCATTAAATCATTGTAATTAGAATAATTTGGTAAATTGAATCCAGTGAATATAAATTCATAAAAGGTTTTCATATACCAAAAGTTTGGAATATTTCTTTATGGGATCTAAGTAGAATAATTTGATATAATAATTTTTTTTATACAATGTCCTATCACATTGACAAACGCGATGTTCACAAAAAGGAAAAATAAATTGCAGTAGGGCAAATTTAAAATTCTAAACAAATCATTAATAACTATGTAATTATTATTATTATTATTATATTTTTTTTTGAAAAAATATGATTAAATATAGTATAATATCTAAGAATCAATGTCCATATGATATGAGTTATATGTTTTTCTTTGGGGTTAAAATATTATTCGAGACATGTGATGCTTTAAGAGGATGATAAAAATATTACTATTATCAGTTTATTCTTTGAAAAATGATGTTATTATTATTTTTTTCAAGAGAAATAAATCAATATTCTTCTAGAATATTGAATGACATTACCTAGAATATTGAATGAAATTGTAATGTCATGCTATTCAGAAACAATTACTATTCTTATTAGATATATGCTATTTTGGGAGTACGCTAAAATATTATGATTTTTTGGTTTAAAAATCATGTTACTATTACCTTTTAAAGAACAATTACTGGATATTCTTCTACGATATTGAAATTATAATACAATGTTGTATTAATTTAGGAGGAACAATATATTATTGTCTAGAAATATTTAATTATGTAATGATTTAATCATCATGAGCAAAAATATAATATATGTTAAATCTTATAAAATTATGCTTTCCGGGAGCAAGTGACATTTTAGCAAAATATTAATATTTTTACAGTTGTGCTTATTCAATAGCAACTACAATATACATTATTACATAAAATGGATCAATTGTACAAGATTATTGGTGTAGTCATAAAAAATTACGAGAATGCCTAGATGAACCAAAAATTAAAAAATAAAAATAAAAAATCAGTTCACATATGACTATACACATATTAAAACATAGTACTAGATAGTTGTTAGTAAGTATTAAAAACACACATACTCTTTCTTTCACATGAAAACACATTGAAAAAAAAGTCCTTTCCTTTAAACGAATTGATTTTGATTGTGATGTGAATTTGATTGGAATTGAAATTTTTTTTTTTTTTTTTTTTTTGGAATACACCTGCTAACAAGACTGGTAGGGGCTGGAGCTCCATATTCTATCCTCCTACATGATTGTTTCATATGATTAAAACGACAAAAAAAAAATATTGAGTACTAAGTCCCAAATTTTAAAAAAAAAAAAAAAAAAAGAAGGACTGTAAAAAATACAATAATCAAAATAGCTAAAGATTAGAATGATATAATGATCACTAACCAATAAACATATAGCCCTATTTAGTATTATTAAAAAATTTAATTAAAATCTAAGTCAAAAATCAATAATTAATTTTAATCACAAGCTCTACAAGACCCCCACAACCTTTTGTTTACACATTTCATCAATTTTTTTTTTAATTAAAATTTACTAGAAATATGATTTTATTTTATACCAAACAAGGGCATAATTTGAAACAATTTTTTTTCTTAATTTTTTTTTTTTTACATCACAATAAGTCAATTTAAATCACACAACGTGTAACTTCTTTTGTACTTTTAAAGTCCTAAATATTTCTTCTAAATTTATAATTTATCGTGGATGTGGATAAATTTACATTAATAATTGAGAACTTTAGTTATGAACCAAGCAAAACCAAATCAGAACAAATTGATTTGGTTATGGTTCGATTTACCGATGGAACTATTGTTTCATTATAAGATAACATCTGATTTTCGATTTGGTTTGATTCGATTTTTTTTTTTTTAATTGAACTAATTGGAGCCTTGTCCACCTTTAGTCGTAAGTGGTTGGATTGCTGTGGATTTGGGTAGTAGGATGGACGTGTGATATAAGGTTTGACGCTTGGTGTCCTTAGGTCATTTCCAACTCTGCACAAAATTTTGAAAAAAAAAAAAAAGTTTTGCACCATTTTAAGCAAAATTTTGCACCAAACTAAATATCATTTCCAATCATTATATCAAAATTTACATCAAATGAATAGAGTTTAAACATTTTCTTCTACATTTTTATTTTTAATAATGTATTTATTGAAAAATTATTTCTTTATTTATTTTACAAATACATAAACATTAAATTAACGAAAATATTAAATTCATTAATAAATATAGAAATTATTTTTTTTACATGATCAAAATTGATTTTAAATAAAATAATAATTTATTGTATTAAAAATATATAACAAAAATGACACAAAATACCATTCATCAATTAGTTTGGCAAATGAAATTAAAGGATAAATTTGACTTTACACCATTTTGTACCGAAATTTGGTGCATTTTAGTGATTTGGTGTCTCTTTTGAAAATGCTCTGAGGACATGACATCTCAAAAGAAAACATCAAACCATCAAATTCCATCAAAAAATGGTACTTAACTACTCAAATGTAATACCAAACTTTGCACCATTTTACGCCAAATGGTGCAGAGTCAATTTTATTCTTTGTTTTCATTTATCAAACAAATTAATTAAGGTATTTGTGTTATATATTTTTTAATAAAATAAATTTAAGATGACGACGATGATACTATTATTATTATTATTATTATTATTATTATTATTATTATTATTATTATTATTATTATTATTATACTGTAATAAATAACTGTCAATGAGTTTAATAGTTTAGTTAATTTAACATAATTATTTATTTAGTAATTTATTTACTATAAAATAAATAAGTATATAATTTTTCAAATAAATAAATTATTAAGAATAAAAATTGAAGAAAATGATTAAATATTGTTCATTTGGTGTAATGATTAAAAATGATCTCTAGTTTGGTGCAAGATTTGATGTAAAATGATATAAAACTTACCTCAAATTTTGGTATAGGATTGAAGATGACCTTCAGAGTAGGACAAGAGATAGGGTGATAACTTATTTAGCATCAATTTATGTAATATAAAATCTAAACTAATGCTAAGGATCGTTGGTACTAAATAACATTAGTCCACAAAAATCAAGTGCTTATTGAAATGGCCCGTGCAAAGAAATTATGAAGATAAAATGATGTATGCCCCTACACATACAGGTTGGAAGATTACAGGAAATTTATGCCGCACTTACGTACAGGCGTGGGATAAGTATTTTTGGGGTAATTTTGTTAATAAGGTCAGTCTTGTTCTGGAATCACATGATGTGAGTTGTCTGTAAATCTACTGTAAAATATCAAAATATCAGCTTGTACATATATAGCCCCCGTTTGACCCCATTACATTAAATTTCATTATATTTTATTTTTCTTTCTTTTATTTTCAATCACACAATTTTTCATAAAATAATATTACATATAAATCAAATTTTTTTACTTTTTTTTTAACCACTCATTTTTTAAAGTAACATTATTCCACTCATTTTTACTTAAAAAATAGGGCATAGTTTCATTCTAAAATAATATATCTTCAACTTTATTACTATTTCTCAAACAATTATTTATCAATGTAATTCACGCGCTTGTTCAGCGAGTAGTCAATTCGCCCTTTCTTACAATTATAGCAAATATCAGTTTCACAGGCTTTCTGGTAAACGAACAGCTACTTATGTAAGTGAACTCAACTGTACACAACCCTTTTAGATCCCATCCAATCTCATATCCTCCTACCAATATGTTGATTCCACCACCAACTCCGTCTCAATTGCCGTCACTTTAAACCGCCGCTAATGTCATCACCCTCCGAACCATTTCGTTGGCACTACGCCGAGTTCGACGACAGCAACTTCCAAATTCGCGGCCGCACTCTGTTTTTCATACTCGTCCTCTTTTCAATCATCCTCTTAGTCACTCTCCTATTCCTTTACGCCAGGTGGGTCTGTCGATACCGCCTTCGTCCTCCTCAGCCTTCCGCTTCCCACTTGGTCCACGTGCCGCCGCCGCCGCCTCAGCCACAGCAGGGGCTGGACTCAACCGCAATTAACAACCTCCCGATTGTTTCGTACATGGGATCGGGATCGAGTCCTGGGAATTTTGTTGATTCAGAGTGTTGTATTTGCTTAGGCATTTTTCAAGATGGAGATGAAGTAAAAGTGCTGCCTCGCTGTCACCACTGCTTTCACTCGGACTGCGTGGATAAGTGGCTCACGACTCAGTCGAGTTGCCCGCTTTGTCGTGCTTCTCTCCGAGTTGACTCTGCTGTTTGACTCGTTTGTTTTATTTATTTTGTATTTCTTATTTTCACCTCCATCAAAATAGGGGTATTTTGTGCAGATTATTTCCACTAATAACCATTGCGACATATATTCCTAAAATGGATTTTATAAATTTGATTGCGATCTCCTAAAGTGGATTTTTATTTTTTATTTTTATTTTTTTTTGGGATATAATGGAACCAATGCTTAACGTTGATAGTTAATACAAACGACAAAAGGGGAAAAAAATTAAAAAATAAATAAATCAAGACTCCACTTTGGACGAGACAAGATGTTTTATAGTTCAATAATAGGTGACACCAAAACGAGAATATCTGTAGAATCTATCTAAAACTTAGAACTTAAGGTTGCCTTTTTAGTTCCCGTTTGGCTCTCATTGTTTAAATTATAATTTTCTCTCTATTATTTTTAACAACACAATATTTCATAAAATAATATTACACGCAAATTGAAAATATTCATTTTTTTCAATTACATATTCTTCAAAAAAATATTATTTTAAAAAGTATAAATTAAAATAATGAAGGCCAAATGGAGGCTTAATATCTCGTTTTTGTAGCATAGTGCTATATACAAGATAAATGTGTTATGCTACTCAATCAGGGGCATATCCCGACCCTGTTTGTGTAGCAGGTCTCAAGATAAATAAGATGCCGACTAAATGAATATTCTTTTTTAGTGTATTTGTTTCAATGTTATTGAGTCTAACGATGGCATTCAAGCTTTTGTCCATATACAAAATGAAGTGTATTTTGTCCAATTTGTTGGTAGGTGCTGATTGAATTTTGTACTGGGATCAACAATAACTTTTAAGTATAATCGAACATGTCAATATAATTTCAAAGTGAAGCTTGGAAAATACTAACATGTGGATTTATGACAAACTTCATTAATTTAAAACAAAATTGCAAGTTTTTTAATATTAAGGTTAGTTACAAGACAAATGCAAAATAAAATCTAGAACATGCTGGCACCTAGAGTTTTAGATTCCTTTGATCTCATTTACACTTCTATTTCCAATGCTCTTTCCTTGGTATTAAGCTTCTCAATCTTATAATTTTAAGTGAAACTAGTCCAAACTCACATGAGCTGATGTGAAAAGAATTTTTATTCTCAAATTGAAGTAAGCAATAAATAAAGAAATACAGGATAGTCAGCAATGAGGAAAGAATCTCATATAGTCCACATTTGAAACTATTCTTCAGCATGCGTGTCAAGTTTAAACATAAAATATCAAAAGTTGAATGTTACGTAAATCAAAAGGGGCCTCAAAAGAATAAGCATTCGCAGAATTTCAATAATAAGTTATGAATGCATGATCATATATACCAGAGTAATACTATTCAACATCATGTTAGGTGACAGTTGTATGACATTAAATGATATATACATTTAAATGTAATATCATATGATTCATTTAATTGAATTTATTATGTGTGGCTACCCAGATTAGTGTTTTAGAACAATTGATATTAGATAGTATTATTCAAATACTAATGTTGTGGTTTTTGTCCCTTGTAATGCGAGTATTGCTATTCATCGCTGCTCAAGTCAAGCACTAGTTTAGATAATAATTGCATGACATTTAATGATAGATTTACTTAAAGGGAAATCACATGATTCATTTAATTGAACTTATCAAGTGTGGTTATCTAGATTGATGTTCCTACACTACTAATGCTAGATATTATTATTGTTTAGAATAATTCTTGGCGCGTCCATAATGTCCAATAGGGAGGCGCCATGTGTGCATTATGGACACCATTATGGTGCCCATAATGTACACCAAGCATGGCCCCTTTCTTTAATGCATCGTGTTTTAGAGTGTGTGTGATTTACATTTGTTGTAAGATTAATATTGTCTATTTGCGTGAAATGACGGAATAGATTGAGCTTTGTTTTGGAGAAGTTTTAACCTTAATTAGTTTTGTAATTCTCGTTATCCCACGTTATTTGATAGAATTGAACGACTCAAGCTTGATTTGTCATTTGTAGTGACACTCTAGCACCATAGCTCGATTGTGTACAAATTTATACCTTAATTTGAAGGTTGTTGGCGCCAATAAAGTAGTTCAATTACTCAATTTGAACATAAATGAAAAGGAAAAATTAAAGCTTGGCTCTCCAATCTGTGTGAACTTTTTATTTTTAACAATTAGGTTCTCAACCTTTCGCTTTTCTTGCAAGTCCTTAATGACCCTCCAGCCTACTATCGTGCTAAATACACAATTATATAATTATTAAATTTAAATTTAAAGAAAAGAAAAGAAGAAAAGAAATATGAAATGAAATTCTTTAACCTTCTTCACCCGACCCACCCCCTATTGCAAAACCCAAAATAACCCCTGGCACCAGGGGCGGATCG